TCCCTCCGTGTTGGAGATACGGCTCTGATGGACTCTGTCTCCAGGCCTCACCATCTGTGCTTGGGTTATGACAGGCTACTAGTTAGGCTTGCACTTTTCTGGTCCACTGTCCGTGAAGGTATGGGAATAGCACTTTATTTTTTTATTTTTTTAAAGATTATATATTTATTTATTTGACACAGAGAGAGCACAAGCAGAGGGAACAGGAGAGGGAGATGCAGTCTCCCAGCTGAGCAGGGAGCTCGATGTGGGGCTCGATCCCAGGACCCTGGGATCATGACCTGAGCCGAAGGCAGAGACTTAACCAACTGAACCACCCAGGCACCCCTGGGAATAACATTTTAAATGCAGAAGATATTAGCCCTCTGCTTAAAAGCTATTGTTGATTCCCTCCGTGATAAACTCCCAGTTCTTAGGCATAGCCTACAAGTCCCCTCCTGGTGCTTGCATCTTGAAGCCTACCTTTATTCTCCTGAAATAGACTCAGGCTTTTCTCAGCCCCTTCTCTCTGCTTGGACTGTACTTACTCACTTCCCTTAGCTTCCTCTTGCAGACTCTGCTTAGTGATCTCCTCTGGAAAGTCTTCTCTGACCTTCCGATGCCCTCTTGGTTCTGGCATGGCCCTTGCTCGGTGCTCTCCTGGTTCCTTTGCACTTTCCCTTACTGCTCCTCACGTTTAAATGACAGTATTGTTTCTTAAGCACTGAGAATGTCCAGCCAGCACAGACACTGTGTCCTTCTTTTTACCTCCTTGGTGGGCAACACAGGGCTGGGCATGGAGTCCATCTTTAAATGCGGGTTGAACTCAAATGAAACAAGTCGGGGGGATAAGCTTTGATCAACAGCCTTTGAACTATCTGGCAAATTTGTTTTCAGCAAAGGCTTGTGGAAGCTTAGCTAGATTTAGGTAAATGCATATATATCATGTCTTTATGGGGTTCTCAGATTTTGCAGAGGCTTCTGAAAGGAGATCTTTTTATATGTATAAGCATAACAGCCGTGCCCGTTATTAAGGAAAAAGCAGCTAGTGCTAATGGCATCAGTTTACTTTATATTCTTTCCACAAGTGTGTTACTCTAAGGAAGTGCAGCGTGTCATCAGTAGGAGTTTCATGTTGTTTCATTGTAATTTTATTGAACATAATGACATTACAAGTAATAAACCTCTACCACATGGTGACAAAACTGATGCTCGTAAGTGTAGGAAAAATGCACCCCTTTTGGTATGACTAGTTTTCTTATTAAAAAAATAAGCTGTGCAAAGGGAGAATAATGCTTTAAGAGGATGTTGCCAAATGGGTAAAACAGAGCTACTATTTATTTTTAGTCTGTCAATGCAATCATTCTTGGGGGATGAACAGGTAATGCTTTTAGCTGGCACCTCATAAAATTCTGAACTCAGTATTTTGTTATTTTTTATGGCTTTGTACAGCCGTGTGATTTTAGTGTGGTTTAACTTTGGACTATTCATCTGCAGCAAAAGCAAAAGGTACCCGGAGCCTTGATTGCTGGCTGAAAGCGGCGTCTTTGTCTCCTCTCCCTGGGGACCAGGCCTGGGCAAAAGGCTTCCCTTCTTTGTGTTTATTTTTCAACCCAATGGAGTGTAAGACCCATGAGGGTCTTATTTCATTATAATTTTATTGAACATAATGACATCACAGCTAACAAATCTGCCAGGTGGTGACCAAATACCACTCAGCAAAACGTTGATCTTCATAAACGTGTGAATTTTCATTTCACTCTAATAGAATGTAAGATCCGTGAGGCTAGTGAAGGTTGTCAGTTTTAGCCAAGTCAGTATATCTTAAGCATTTAATGTGGTACCTGGTATAAAAATATTGGTTGAAAGGATGAGTAAATGAAGCCCTGTGGGCCTGGAACTGTTCCCTGTCAACACATAAATTGGTGCAGTTTGAGTTTCTAGGGCATTTAAAATGGCAGCTCTGTCTTCAAGTTCTAAACTAAAGGCTTGGTTCCTGGGAAAGAAGTACTGGGCATCGATCAGATGGGTGTTGTATTTTGGGGCCCTGAATTCACTGTCAAAGTCACTTTCCTCTGTTTCTATAGGAAAGTATGGGTAGACGACTCTATACCAGCCCAGAAATATGGTGCACTTCTGTGCTTGAGCCCTACAAAGAAATTTGGGGGAAAGATTTTATAAATCCTCTTTCCCATGTCACGTGCTTCCAATTCACAGTGCTGCCCTTTGTTTTTCCTCAGCAATGCAGAGCTAAGCCTCCTCTTAGACAATTTCCACCTTCTGTTGAAAGTAGAGTGTTGGGGGGTGCCTGGGTGGCTCAGTTGGTTAAGCGTCTGCCTTCGGCTCAGGTCACGATCCCAGGGTCCTGGGATCGAGCCCCGCATCGGGCTCCCTGCTCCGTGGGAAGCCTGCTTCTCCCTCTCCCTTTGCCTGCTCCTGTTCTCTCACTATCTCTGTCTCTCTCGCAAATAAATAAATAAATAAATAAATAAATAAATGAAATCTTTAAAAAAAAAAGTGGGGAGTGTTTTCGAGTTCTGATGGTGCAGGCTGGGGTGTGGCACGGGATGTTACAGGAAGCTTTTTCCCATGGATTCTTTTTGGTTTGGGAGGTGGGATACATTCCACCTCCGGGAGTGGGTACAGTCCAGACTTCCTTCCTGGTTTTTCATAAGACCAACATCAGGCAGCCAGTGGGAAAGGAGTGATTTTTTGAGGGTATTCACAAACTGTGGCATTGCCGGTTGAAATACAAGTTGGTTATTGGAGAACATGCCTTGCGCTTGCTGTGCAGTTTGGGATATCTGTAAACCTTTGTGATCCACGTGTTCACTTTTTTTTTTTTTTTATTGTTTTGGGAAATAGGATGAGGTGTAGTACTCAAAGGAGGGACTGCAGTTTAGAAACCCAGGCTTAAAGAACTCACTGTTTTTTTCAGCTCTGGCTCACAGATGCAGAGATTTGAATTTCCCTGTCCTGTCTCAGGGTGAGATGTGGGTCAGAAGATTGGAGTTCCAGGCTCCTGGAGCTGGCTAAGCTGGGTGCCCCGGGGCAGGTCACACTTGAACTGTCCCAGCTACACTTTCTCCCCTGTTCATTGGGATGGGGACACTGACTGAACCCTCCAATTTTTTTTTTTAAAGATTTATTTATCTGAGAAAGAGAGGGGGGATAAGCAGAAGGGGCAGGGAGAGGAAGAATCTCAAGCAGACTTCTGCACTGAGCACAGAGCCTGATGTGGGGCTCGATCTCACGACCCTGAGATCACGACCTGAGCTGAAACCAAGAGTTGGATGTGTAACCGACTGTGCCACCTCGGTGCTCCTGACCCCTCCGATTTGTTGTACAACTTAAAATAAGACCAAGCATGAAGAAAACCTAAAAGTCGTGTGTGAGATAGTGTTATCCTAAGGGCCATGTGTCTCACTTCCTTTCCCCTGGAGAGGAAAATTACAGTTGTGTTTTGCTGCTGATGCTCTTTTTCTTCTTTGAGCTGGCAGAAAACAGAACCACACGTACAGGGTACTTTTCGTAAGGACTTCTTGGCATTCATTTGTGCAGTTCTCCATCTGTTTTCTGTCTCTGTCTTCATTTTCCCTTTGCTCTTCTTTCTGATTTATGCCTTCTGGCTGGATGACAGGTACTTGATGTAAGAAGCCTTAAATTCTTCTTGGAACAAGTGATTAGAAGAAGAACCAGCCAAACAAATAAATATTGCCACACCAATTCCCTTTCCTGTCCTCTAGGGTTTAGGGTAAGGCTGAACACAGGCCCGTTCCTCTGTGTGGCACTCAGCTCTGGGCGTACTCCTTCCTCTGCAATGCCGGCCCAAGTGTGAATGCCCCTCTCTTTCAGAGACTGCTTCCTGGGGGAGGAGACAAATTTTGTCAGCTCCTGGACTAAAAATAACTTAAAATTCTTAGCTGATACCATTTAGAATCAACAGGTTTTTTTTTTTTTTTTTAAAGGTTTTATTTATTTATTTTAGAGAAAGAGAGAGAGCCAGCACGAGCGGGAGGGGCAGAGGGAGAGGGAAAGAGAGACTCTCAAGCAGACTCCATACTGAGTGGGGAGCCCACTGCAGGGCTGGATCCCAGGACTGAGATCATGACCTGAGCCGAAACCAAGAGTCGGACACTTAACAGACTGTGCCACCCAGGCGCCCCTAGAATTCACAGGTTTTATAGGAAAAATGCAGACAGTCTTCATTTGTGTCAAAACTGGTCATCTGTAATGAACCAAGTTTTTCTCTATGACATCAGGGTGTGTTTAAGGAAAGTGTTTTTATTGCCTCAAGGCAGGTTCTTTTACACAAATGTATTTTTCATCATCCTTCAGAGTGCTCTTGTTTGGGACAAAGTTCTGGGTCCTATCCAGAAGTAAGAAATAGAGGCAGGGCCCTGTAGAACAAATGTTAACATTTTTCCCCCAAATGTTAACATTTTAAATATCGTTAATGTTTTATCATAATTATTTCATTTGCATGTCTGTGGTACTAAATGGTAAATAAGTGTGATTTTGTTTTCGAAAAATCATATTGGTGTAAACATTCTTTTCAAGGGTAATTTTGTTAGCTTACACTTATTCTCTAAATTGAAAGTATAGTACAGATGGATGATCTGTAAACAAGATTTAATTTATTGATTGGTCGATAGCAAATTATTGGTCAATCTGAGATGTAAACCCTGTCCTTGTCTCCTGAGCAGTGCTAAGTGTAAGTCTCAGGGAGATAGGTCCTCTGTGTCTTCTTTGTCTACTCCTTTACCTGAAACACACAAGAAGTTGATGGTATGCAATATTATCAAGTATTTCAGAGTTTTTGAACTTTACTGTATCAGTATGATAGTGTGAATGCTTCCCACAGTTAGAATATATTTCTCATTTTGGCTATATGAATTTAATCTTTAGAGCTCACAAGAGCTTTCTGACAAAAAACGTCCCCCATGTTTATTCTACAGTATTCTACTGTACTGATGAATATGATTTCTGTTAATTAAACAGAACTTACTTTCTTTTTTCAGTTCTGTCAGGAGGTCCATTGCCTCAAGGGCATGAATTTGAACTGTATGAAGTTAGATTTCATTGGGGGAGAGAAAACCAGCGTGGTTCTGAGCACACAGTTAATTTCAAAGCTTTTCCCATGGAGGTAAGAATAACAAATCATCTTGTAAAAATCTTACTGTTTATGTGAAGTATTCAGCGATTTACTGAGAATGGTTGAGTTTAGAAGTAGGTGTATAGCATTTAAATTTTATCAATTTATATTAAAGTAACAAAATGCTTAAGGAAATGTATGCTTCGGCAGCAAATGACACTTCCCATTGACTTTGGTGAGCTTGAAGAATGCACACGGGCGATTGGCCATAAAGGTAAACTACACTATTAAGTTTCATTTCAGTATTGTTACTGTTCTAAAAATTCTGCTGCCTCAGCAAATTCATTAGGTCTTTTTTTTTTTTTTTAAAGATTTATTTATTTATTTATTTATTTGACACAGAGAGACAGTGAGAGAGGGAACACAAGCAGGGGTAGTGAGAGAGGGAGAAGCAGGCTTCCCGCCGAGCAGGGAGCCCTATGCGGGGCTCGATCCCAGGACCCTGAGATCATGACCTGAGCCGAAGGCAGTCGCTTAACCAATTGAGCCACCCAGGCGCCCCATCAGTAGGTCATTTTTGTAGATGCTATGAATAGATGATAAACTGAAAACCAATAACTTTTGGAGAAATCTCAACATTAGTCAAAAGTCTAATTTAGCTCTGATTAAAATTGGCAAGTTGGTTTTATTCACCCCAGGCAATTAGAGAGAGAGAGAGAAGGAGATTTTTAACCAACTGAGCCACCCAGGCGCCCGAGAGAAGGAGATTTTTAAAGAGTCATTCTTTTGTCTTCACTTACCTTCTTAGTCAATTCCTACTCTTTCTTCAATACCTAGTTGAAGTATCCTTTCTTCCATGGGACTTTTTCTGAGTCCCTTCCCTAAGCAGAATTAATTGCTCCCTCTTCTGTGTGCCCAGCATACTTGACAGATTGTTGCCATGGCACTCATGGATTGTAACCTTTAATGTCTACAGTGTCTCTTTCACTGATCCTGTGGGTTCCAGTTATGGACCAAAGTGTTGGTGCCTCTCCCCCTTCCCCCCCAGTCGTATGTTGCATATGATGGTATTAGGAGGTGGGGCCTTTGGGATGTAATTAGGGTTAGATGAGGTCACCAGGGTGGAGTCCTTGTGAATGGAATTAGTGCCCTTTTAAGAGTCCAGAGAGAGCTTGCTTTTCCCTGCTAATTGCCGTGTGGGGGCACGACAAGAGGATGGCTGCCTGCAATCCAGGAAGGGGGTCCTCACCAGACATCAGTTCTACCAGCCTCTTGATCTTGGATCGCTCAACCTTCAGAACTGTGAGATAAATGTCCTGTAAGCCACCCCATCAGTGGTTGTTTGTTATAATGGCCCACTTTGACTAAGCTCCTGAAAAAATGTCTCCCTCCCAGTCTTCTCTCTTTTTTTTTTTTTAAAGATTTTATTTATTTATTTGACAGAGAGAGACACAGCAAGAGCGGGAACACAAGCAGGGGGAGTGGGAGAGGGAGAAGCAGGCTTCCCGCGGAGCAGGGAGCCTGATGCAGGGCTCGATCCCAGGACCCTGGGAGCATGACCTGAGCTGAAGGCAGATGCCTAACGACTGAGCCCCCCAGGCGCCCCTCATTCTCTTTACACCCATCATTCATCCACTGCGGGTACTCAGAGGCAGTCCGTGTTGGCGGACTTCAGGCGATGTCGCTGTCGGTCCAGGCCTTGTTTATGTGTCTTCCTGTAAGGACCCACAGTTCTCTCCAGGAAACAGCACTTCGGTGGCACATAGCAGTGTGTTTTGGGGGCAGCTGGGGTGCCGGTCTTCGTTCTCTGTTGTTCCCAACTGCCTGTGTCCTTAAGTATGGAATTGAACATGGCTAGATACTGCGTCCAGTCCCACCTCAGTGACTGAAAATCACTGTTGTATAATTCCTATAAGTGATACATGTGCTTCGTAGAATCAAGGTAGAGGAAGTATTTCTCCATATTACTTTAATTATAATTCTTAAAAAGTGCCTTTGGAATCTCAAGATATCCCTTTCATTAAAAAATACTCGAATGCTTTTTTTTTTTTTTAAGATTTTATTTACTTATTTATTTGAGAGAGAGAGAGACAGAGCATGAATGGGGGCAGAGGGAGAAGCAGGCTCCCCGCCGAGCAGGAAGTCCGTTGTGGGGCTTGATCCCAGGACTCTGGGATCATGACCTGAGCCGAAGGCAGAGGCTTAACCCACTGAGCCACCCAGGTGCCTCAAGACTCGAGTCTTAAAAGTGAAATATTAAGTGTTTTAAGGAAGGAGGGGAAGGGGGGAATCGGTTGCAATAAGTTGGGAAGCACCTGAGTATCTGATTGCAGATTGTGATAAAGGCCTTGATGGGGACGGTCGGGACTTCATATGTTACCATCCTAGGGACTTTTTTTTCTCAGTGCCTACAGACATCCTTTCACTTCTATTACCTTAAAACAATTCTGCCCTGTCTCTGTGTCACTTCTGTCTACTGTGCTGTCCTCACCCAACATGAGAAGGAAAAGCACACACCAGGATGCATCAGAGAGGAGAGAGGACACAAAGCAGTCCAAAACAGTGCAGCCTGCAGGGTAGGGGAGGGCAGAGTGAGGGGCTGGAGGACACTGATGGGCAGGGCTGCTTTGGGTTTGAAAGACTGTTTCATCATTTCCTCTTGACCCATCTTCAAAGAGGGAGAGATGGAGGTAATTGGGTAGGCAACAACTTGTGGACGAGAATTCAGTGGCTTTGCTTGTGACACACAGAATTTACAGCCTTGAGAAAGCTTAATTAGATTAAGCGAGTCAGTGGTGTGTGCTTTTTGCTCTGTGGTCGAATAGAATTTCCAGACCACATGTTCAGACTGTTCCTGTTACTTGGTGGCATTTTAACTGCTCTGGTCCATTAAACACAGGTAATGGTTTGTTTTGAGTAAAGATTAAATTCTGATAGGCTCTGTTTCTGCAGAAATATTTATCTTCAGGATAATGGAATTACTGGCTGTAATTTTTCCAAAATAGATGATGAATAATATTTATATTCTTTGTTATCCCAGATTATCCCTGATTCAATCCTAGAGAAAATACTTGTTTCATCATCCAGTGTTTGTTTAGTGCTCTATCCTACTGAGTACATAAATGCAGGGAGTGTGCAGAAATAGAGGGAGAGATCTACAAGCCACGTGTTTTCTGTTTAGTTTGTTTTGCTTTGTTTTAATGGAGGCTGTGAATACTGAGCTGGGTTTTATCTTATTTCTTTTGTTTTCTTATTTATTTTTTATTTTGTTTCTTTTAAAGATTTTATTTATTATTTGAGAGAGAGAGTGAGCGAGAGAGAGCATGAGCAGTGGGGAGGGGCAGAGGGAGAGGGAGAAGCAGACTCCCCACTGAGCACAGGGCCTGATGCGGGGCTCAGTCCCAGGACCCCGAGATCCTGACCTGAGCCAAAAGCAGACACTTAACTGACTGAGCCACCCAGGCGCCCCTGAGCTGGGTTTTAAGGGAGAGAGGGTTCACATGGTGTGCTGAAAGAGAGAAGAGACAGACACCACGTAGAATAGTCCAGGAGGGAATGAGAAGGCTAACGTGGAGATAGGTAGGTAACTTCCCATTGGTCCCCTGGCCCTGAACTGCCCTCAAGGGCCACCTTGGAGACAAGGACCACCTGCCAATAGAAGAGAGGAGAGTGAGGGGATCAGGTAGGTACCTTCTTGAGTATGTGATTTAAAAAAGTTTTAAGACCCTTTCCATATTTTATTTACATTTTAAGACTAACTTTAATTTCCAAATCATATATGTATACGTATTTCCTTTTTGTTTTTAAAGATTTATTTATTTGAGAGGGGGTGGGGCAGAGGAAGAGGGAATCTTCAGCAGACCCCACACTGAGCGCAGATCCCGACGCAGGGCTCCATTCCACATCCCTGAGAACAGGACCTGAGCCGAAACCAAGAGTTATTAGCTGCTTAACCAACTGTGCCACCCCGGCGCCCCAACATACTTCGTTTTTATTAATTTCTTTTAAACTTAAATGGATGGCTTACTAAACATTGTAAACAAATAATTACCATGTCTGTTACATGTAGCACAGGAATGGCTTTTGACAGTAATTCATCAACCTCCCTCAACTTTTTAAAATTATAAATGCAGTAAAAACGATCCTGAATATATTTTTGATACTACTAGTAGCCAGCATCCGCATCGTTTCCCCAAATTAACAGTTTGTGACTTTAAACAATTTAAATGGCAGCTCTTTTGCTAAGGGAGATGGATAAAGCAGGCCACTTCTGTTTTTTTCTTCTTGCAGTTTTTAGTTTTGAGAAACACACGAGCTTCCACGGCATCTGACATTCTCACTGTGTTTTCATCTTGTAAACCTGGATTCTGTTATTAATACTCGAAGTTTATGCTTACATGACAGTGCCTTAGCAAGAGAAAAATAAATTGTACTGCATTTTTCTTCCTGTTACCTGAAAACCTAATGGGCTTGCATGTATTAACTATATTCTTACAAACGTCTGAGTCATGTGTACCAGCTAGAATTCTTTTACTTAGCGTGCAGATATTTTGCATCATGATATTTAATCAGGAAGGCAACAGGAATAGAAGGTTGCTGATTTAAGAGATCCAATCAAATTAGTTCTTGTGTCTTTGTCCTTCTGATGGCCGTAGAAACCTCATATCTTCTTTGGACAATCACTAGATACTGTAGCTCTTGAAGTCCAACTTCAATGCTCTATGAATTGTGCCATTTTGCTCACAGTGGCATCCACCATACCACCGGAATTATTTATTTTCCCATTAATTTTTCTTACAAATCTAACTGGTAGAGGAATGTCTGAGTATTTAGGTTCACAATTGACTTTCAGGCTGTGTATTCTGTTTTTGTGTCTTGTCTGAGAAGACTGTCAGCTTCTTTGCGACTTCAAGGTAGCCTAACTTTGTGGCCTGTATAGCTCTTGGAAATTATGATTAATCTTTACACATGAATTGCTACTTTCATACTTCTATGGAAGAGTGCTTCCCACGCATTTAGATTTTATGCTGGAGCAGTAAATGAAAAAAAAA